TAAGACGGCGATTTTTGGAGATAGCACCGCGTTGTGGAGGAATACCACGGGCGCGACGCGTAACCGTCTTTCTGGGCACATCGTATAGTTTCTCAACGCCTCGGAAGGATGTAATTTGGCCGGTCTTGTAGGCTTGAACGCCTAGAATAACTCTGCCTTCTTGAAAGATGGCTTCTTGTTGTTGTGGTGCTGCCATTGGGGTGGTTGTTGGACGACGCGTCGCGTGTTGAGTTGGGTGGGCCACTAGCTTGTGCGGGCCACTAACTTGTGGATTACGTTACTACTTCTCCTGCTTACCACAGTCCTCCGCCATTTAAAGTACCCTTTGGGTGATTGCATACCATTTCATTGAGACGGGGTAACGGTCACGTGGTGATATACAGCGCATGGACCACATCTACTCTGGACGTCTTCGGGTTTCCCAACGTTGAGACATCCATACCACATAAACACAAGGCCACTATTCATGCTAATAATTTAAGTTTCCCACTCGCTATAGTGGCTATGCATTGCAGCACAGCCCACTCGTCCATAAAAGCTGCTCACCTTCCGAAGCCTTAGGATAGTTCTAGGCAACCATGCGTTGAAGAAGGCATTCACGGTACAATTTGATGACCAGACGAAAAGAATGTACACTTGCTTTTGCTGTAAATTGCCAAGGACCTCACTGGGTCAGCTATCGGAAGGCGAAGATAGTATCCACCAGTACGATCATTAGCTTGCCGACGTGCAACTCGCTGCAAAGCAGGGTTGTCTAATGTGCTCCTTCATACTCAAATGCGTCGACTGGGCTGCGCCAAAGTTTTGCAAGTACGGCGATGTTGGGATAGTAGCTATCACGCTTGTTGAGTGTTTGTTCGTATTATACCTTAAGAGCCAAGAAATCATTATCCTGGAAGTGTTCTCGCCCTGCGGTACGTATGGGTACTATATCAACCAAAGCTACTTAATACCCTGACAATGTTTATCTCAAGGTCGAGGCTTGATACCATGGGATAACGATGTCGACAAAAGTGCACGGCGCCTGCTTCCTGGATCATCGTCTTCACGAGAAACCTTCGAAAGTATGAACCAATGGATCCAAGAATGTAGCTCGAATCATACCCTTTGCCATTCCCACGACAAGGAAGATAGCATTGACTGTAAACACCCGAAGCGGATCCTCGATCTTAGTAATGGCTCCATAGTTCTTAGAGAGAACTTCCAGTCAAAACGCTATGCCTGCTTAAGTCACTGCTGGAGCTCTGCCGCCGATGTTCCAATGACGACTTCAAGTACCTTACGCAAATTGAAGCGAAGAGTCCCAGTAAACATACTCACGAAGACGTTTAAAGATGCCGTATCCATCTGCCGAGGTCTAGGCATACCCTATCTATGGATCGATTCGCTTTGTATATATACACAACGCTCCATTATTAATCACCTCAAAATCTTGAGGTTTGCACCTCAGTTTTTTGAGGGGTTTCATGCTAACCCCTTGTACGTATATGGCTAGTCAGATCAAGCGATACAATCTTCCGTGTTTTCAAATTTGAAATCTATCCCTACGCTTTCTATTTTCGCGTCGCCTTTCCTTTTCTTCATCTTGACATGGCCGCGTACCCTTGCGCTTCTAGCAACAAAGGGCCGGCGCAGTCCAACGAAGACTTTAGTGTCACGACGGTATCCCCCAATTATATCGCGCCAGTTCCTATTATGCTGCTCAACGCGGATGGTGGACATCAACTCCTCTTTCATACAATTTAGGAATATACCGAACACTTTATACACAATACCTAGAGCACGCGTCTTAGGCTTCAAGAGGCTCTATATTTTCGATTCCTAGAGCCATGATGTTATGAAGCAGTTGGAGCGCCAGGTCATGCAGTTGATTAAAGAGCTCGAGGAAGAAGCGGCTCTTTGGGTACTCTGTTTCACAGAACAAAGACGAAGAATTTTTCCAGAGGGTTCAGGTCAAGGTCTGAAGATATGGCGTGGTCCAGCCTTGTGCAGAGGGAGCAAGCGCAGTAGGCGATCGTATGCTGCCTGGGATGGCAGCTTTAGTGTCTGCGAGCTGAAAGTTTGGTCATAAAACATATAAAGAACACTCTAACAATTGCCACTCGTAAAACGTCGTAGGGCTCTCGCAGAGAATCTACTGTCTAGATTAAATCTAGAGAATAGAAGTGTCCTATAACCCTATCTAAGTAAGTCAGCCTGAGACCTTTGCCATTAGTACTTTCGACGAACTTGGCATAGTATTAAATTGAATAAATAACTTTTAGCAAGCATTGAAAGAGATATTGATTTCCTAGTTGTACACGCAGTTCCCAAAAACAATGAAAAGTCCTGTTAACGCCAAGTGCCTGAAACATCTAACGGAAATCTACTTGTCGCACTCCATCTTCCTCCGACCATCTATTAGATCTCAAGCACGAGGTAGCGGTGGCGGTGGTGGTGGCATTGGCATTGGAGCAGG